TAATGCTTCTTTTATCATTTTACAAAATATCTTTGCATATTTCCACAATGTCTCTAATTTTTACAATATTTCCCCTCGACATTTCCGACATATGCCCTATATTTTCGTAAGCGACATTTCCATCAACATCGACATTTTAAACCTTGATTGGACCAAAAAGTGGAAGAATGTATTCTGTTATTGGAAAAATTAGAAGGTACCAACATTTTTAGATCTACAGAAGATGGCTTATGGTGGAAAGAATGCAGAGAAGGTAGATTCTCTGTTAAGTCATTCTACAAGGCAATAACAAGAGAAGGAATGGAGTCAGAGTGTTGGACCAGATAAAAGGAGTGTGGGGTAACCCAGTACCCCCAAGGGTAGAAGTCTTTGCTTGGCTAGTGGTGCATGACAGTATCCTTACTTCTGACCACTGTAAGTCTAGGGGATTACAGTTGGCAAGCTGCTTTTACTTATACAACCAGGAGGAAGAAACAGTCCTTCACTTGTTCTTCTCGTACAATATAGCAAACTTCATTTGGAAATTCTTCTCCTTCTTGTTCGAAGTGTCTTTCAACCATTGTTTCCAGCAGAGATCTTCTCCAAATGGCCCAAACTTAGAGGAAGCAACAAAGCTAGAATTCTTTGGAAATGTATTCTGTTTGCAGTATGCTGGTCTATATGGAAAGAGACAAATAGAAGGGTTTTTAGGACAAGTCAAAAAGTATTGAATACCTGGTAGCAACAGTGGGCAACCTGATTCCAGACCGGGCTCTTAGACTTCTAGATTTTGATCAAGTACTTGTCTAGTAAGACTGCAACAAGTCCTAGTTTTAATGTAAAATAAACAAGAAAGAAAGCTGAGAAGAAAAGAAGAAGAGAAGAAAAGGAGAAGGAGAAGAGAGAATATTAATGGTTTAAAACAGGGAAAAAACCAGAATTACCCCTACTGCTTACATAAGCTAAAAGATAACAGAAAACAACTACCAACTAAGCAACATAAATGGGCATACAGCATGGGGACCACACTATTGTTCTACATCTCTACACTCCCCCCTCAAGTTGGGAATAGATATTAGTCATTCCCAACTTGCATAAGTCTATCTCCAACTTTGCCTTTGTAAATGCTTTAGTGAAGAGATCTGCAAGCTGCATGTTGGAGGTGATATATGGAAGGCACATTTCTTGGGAAGCAACTCTCTCTCTAATAAAGTGTCGATCCACTTCGATATGCTTAGTTCTGTCATACTGTACCGGATTATGAGCAATGTTAATAGCAGTCTGATTATCACAATACAGCATCAAGGGCTTCTCATAAGCAATACCCAACTCTTCAAATAGGGATTTCAACCACACCATTCGCCATAGACCTATATTCAACTTCAGCATTGGAGCGAGCAACAACACTTTGTTTCTTACTTCTCCAAGAAACAAGGCTTCCTCCTATAAAAGCACAATACCCAGAGGTAGACCTCCTATCATCAACACACCCAACCCAATCGACATCTGTGTAAACTTTTATTTTCATGTGACCATTATCTTTGAAGAGTATACCTCTGCCTGGACACCTCTTCAAATAAGCCAATATCCTCTCAACTACAAGTAGGTGAGTGGTTCTGGGGGAATGCATATATTGGCTAACAACACTGACTACATAAGAAATGTCTGGTCATGTGAGGCAAAGGTAGAGAAGTTTCCCAACCAACCGTTGAAACATGACTTTGTCTTCAAAAGGCTCTCCACCTTCTACACTGATCTTATGATTTTGTTCAATAGGTGTGTCAGCAATTTAACACCTAGCTTCCCAGTTTCTTTCAACAGATCAAGAGCATACTTCCTTTGAGAAACAAAGATCCCATGTTTAGATTGTGCTACCTCAATACCTAGGAAATAGCATAGCTCTCCCAAGTCTTTGACCTCAAATTCTTGGTAAAGGAGTTGCTCAAGAGAGTCAATCTCACAGGTATCACTCCCTGTCACCACAATATCATCCACATATACAGCAAGTAGGGTTAGGGAGGAATTTACTTTCTTAATAAAAGGGTGTGATCTGATTGGGCTTGCACATAGCCGAATTTTTCAAGAGCCTATCTAAATCTATCAAACCAGACTCTGGGAAACTGTTTCAATCCATATAAGGCCTTATTAAGCCGGAAAATCTTCTTTCCTGCTTCTGCACTATAGAACCCAGGAGGTAAATGCATATACACCTCTTCTTGCAAATCACCACTAAGGAAGGCATTTTTAACATTCATCTGAAACAATGGCCACGAGAAATTGGTTGCAAGAGATAGTAAGACTCTGAATGTGTTCATCTTTGCTACTAGTGCAAATGTCTTCAAGTAGTTTATGCCATATGTCTGTGTAAACCCCTTTACAACTAATCTGGCCTTATATCTTTCAATGAAACCATCAGCATTATGTTTCACTATAAACACCCAACTGGTTTCTTCCCTTTAGGTTGATCAACTAACTCCTATGTATTGTTCTTTAGAAGAGAATCCATTTCTACCTTCATTGCATCCTTCCACTCAAGTACTGACAAGGCTTCCTGCACTGTTCTAGGAATGGAAATAGTAGCAATGGATGCCAAGAAAGACTTGTATGATGGAGACAATTGATCATAAGATAGAAACTGGGAAATACAATGAGTTGTAGATGAGGTGCAACGGCACTTCCCTTTACAGATTGCAATTAGAAGATCAAGATCATCCAATGGAGGAGAAGGCTCAACAATGGAAGGTATTTCATCTGTAGTGGAAAATAAAGGAAATGGGGTACCTGGATTTGGATCCACAGAGGGAATTGGAGTTGACCTAAACTACTGATGACCGAAATCAACCTGCCTCCACCGCCTGTGATATACCCTCAAATCCCGGCACCTTTGACACCCCTCCTCACTACACTCTTCTTCAGTGATTGGGACAGGTAATGGAATTTCTGATGAATGAGCCCCCACCTTACTACTCTCCTCCTGAGAAGAAACTCTAGGATAATAGAATACATCCTCAAAGAAAGTGGCATC